ACTCATGGCTTGGCTCTCTGTGTCCCAGCCAGGAGCCAAACACCTGTGCTTATGTCCAGTGCCTCTGTTGGGTAGTTCCAGAACATTCAGGGACTGACTCCATCACAGGCTTGGAGATCCATGGCCAAAAGCCCCGTTCTGATCTAATGCTTGAGGAGAAGGATGAGGGGGTCCAGGGGCACCAGACCAATTAAGGCTCAGACAGGGAAGCCACTCAGATGCTAGCAGCTTCAGACCCAGGCAGGCCCTGAGAGGTCATGTGAGCAAGGGTTTCTCAAATCCTTTTGATGGCAACCCACAGAATGTAAGAAATTTCACACCTGGATCCAGTCAGCCCCCAACACACACACACCCACCACAGAGACACAATTTGCTGAAGCAGCACTTTACTGCTTGTGATATATTAACACACACACACGCACACGCACACGCACGCACGTGCCACACCAGATGCAAGCCTCCAAACTGATTTCATGACCCATTCACGGACCAGGGCTAGTGTTAAAATTATCTGTCAAATTGCTCCCCTAAAATGGGAAAGCTGAGGTCAGGAGACGGGCTGCCCAGGGTCACCCAAGACACAAAGACACATGCAGAGTCAGGACTAGAACCTGGTATCTAGTTCCCAATACTTCTCGTTACCCCAAATTAAATTCTGATTAATAGAATGCTAACCCAGTTGAGTGTGGAGGAGGTGTTTGGATGGTCTGGGGCGCAAAGTCAGTTAGACCCTACAGCTAGCCAGGGTCTAACTCCATGCTTCTCTGAGTGCTCAGGAGGCACTGCAGGGCCTCTGGGCCCCACCTGTGGCGTCGGTTCTCACTGAGCCAGTGGGAGTCAGCGGCCAGGCTCCCCCAAAACCAGGTTTTCTATATTGACCTAATCTTGGCTGTGGTTCCCAAGAAGATGCAGACCTGAGCCCTGCTCGCACCCGAGGTGTCTCTGATCTAAGGCAGCGCTGACAGAGGCAGCAGCGTGCAGGGGGTCTGACCCAGAGCACACTCACTGGGCACTCCCCCCGCCCTGTGCCAGACCCTGTGCCAAGCTAGGAAAGGCGAGCCAGCAGCAGTGAGGCACAGGTCCCGTCCCCAGGGAGTTCAGGCTCTGGATCAGCACGGTCCCAGGTTCAAATCCCCACTCTGCCTCTCTCGGGTTGTGTGGCCAAGGTTCCATGCTCGGCCTCAATCGACTCGTCCCTTAAGTGGGATTATGACATCTGCCTGTTGGGTTGTTGGGAGGATGAAGGGACCTAACCTGTAAGAAAGTCCCCGGCACATAGCAGGCAGTCGGTAAGTGGTAGCTTTCCTGATTATTATTACCGATAAGAAAAAAAAACAAAAAACAAAACTCACAGATAAAGGAGAGGGACAACATCCCAGAAGGGGAGAAACGGCGAGAGCAGAGGCAGAGTGGAACACACAGGGCAAGCTGGTGAGGCGTGGAGGTCTGGGGAAGTGGGGAATGGTTGGGAGATCAAGCAGAAAGGCAGGGCTGCCAGCCGAGGAAAGACCTTGAACTTCAGGCTGAAGAACGTGGCAACAGGGAGCCACTGAAGGCCTTAGAGGAAGGAAGTGGCGTGATTGGAGTATGTGAAAGAAAAGATGGATCGAGGACCCTTGACGAATAACAGCAAAACCTCCCCCAGGGCTTGGCGTTCCCCCAGGGCTTGACTTACGCCATCGCCGTGAGCTTTCTGAATTCAGCAGGGAAGGGCATGGTCACCATCCTGAGGCCTCCAGGAGGTGGCAGGATTTGTGAGGATCCCCAGGGAGGCTCCTGCCACCTGAGTGGGATAGGATGGGTCTCTCTGGCGGCAGCAGAGGGGAGCACCCCAGTTTCCTTCCGCGCTAGCGCAGGTCCTGGGAGCAAGTGCCAGAAACAGATGTGCGAGTGTGACCAGAAGGCGGTTCTGGACACACAGAGCAGTCTGGGACCTCATCTTGGGGGCAAGCCATATGCAGGAAGACCACACCCCCTGCCAGACTTCAGGGCACTGAGTTATCTCCCCTGGCCCCTGAGGGGACCGCCCCGGCGTGGCCGTCTGATGAAGGGCCCTTCCCCTCACTCAGCACAAGCCTGGATCAGAGAGGCATCAGGGGCCAGGAGGCCAAAGGGACAAGCCCAAGCCAGCGCTCGTCCGGACTGCGCCACCAGAGAGGTCAACATGCCATGGCCGCTGCACTGCCTGCCCAGCTCCTCAGTTCTGTCTCCGCGCCGCTCTGTGAACACCTCGAGTGCAGGGGCTGTGTCTCCTTCATTCATCTGTTCATCCAGTCCCTCATTCAGTCAACAAACACTGGAGAAGCCCCTGCCAGGCACGCCGCTAGGCCCTGGGAAGCCGGCTCTATCAACCAGGCTTTGATCAGAGCCCCAGAACGCCGAGGAGATACCCATATACAAAATCAGGGACTTTTTACGGGGATTTACTTCCACGATTGTGGGCGCCAGTAAAAAAAAAAAAAAAAAAACAACATTCTGTGAGAAGCTGTTTCTTATTCTGCTGGTGTTGCTACCTGAAATCATGTGGCCCAAGTGACAGGGCAAACTGGAAGGACAGGGATGAATGGAACGGCGAGAACAGCCCTGAACGCCCTTCATCATTTCATCACCTCCAACAAGAGGCGCTGGGGCAGGTGGCCCGGCAGGACCTGGTGCAGCTTCCTGACACTGACACGGTGAGCCCGCAAATATGGGACAGCAGGTGTCAGCCGGGACAGCGTCTCATGCACAACATCTCCGGAGACCGAAACCAGCCTGGAATTCTGCAAGGATGGAATTTTTGGGAAATGCAGTTTCCACGTAGCCAAGGGACATCTGACAGATGCAGGACGGTACCCCCCTTGGGGGGCCGTGCAATTTTGAGAGATGACCTCCCTGATGGTTCTCCTGTCACCCAAGAGCTGGTCAAGTAACAGAGTCGGAGAGACCGCCTCCTCCCAGGTTTTGGCGATTCCTGGATATCATCATTTCCCCAGGGCTGTTCACGGCAGCAAATGAGGGTCCAGAGCAGCCACCATGGAGGACCTCAGTGGGGTCCCCCTCTACAGTGAAGCCAGAGCCCCAACCAGACTAACCACCCAGGGATGGCCTCTGTTATCCAAGGCAGTTAGAGCAGAGAGGAACCTGGCCCTCAGGTGGAATCCAGGGGTTCCTCCCAAGAACCCCTGGTATGGACGAGTCTCTGAACCACCCCAGGTTCTGTGTTCTCTCTGTGTGGGCTGGAGCCGAAGACAGGTGGGATTAGCAGTCAGAGTCCAGTGCTTAGAACCAGGATCTGAGGTCTAACTCCACCTTTGGCTGTTGATGTGCTGTGTGACTTTGGGAAAGTCTCTTAACCTCGCTGCACCTCAGTGTCCTGATAGATAAACAAAAGTTCCCCACCGGCCTCTCCAGCTCAAGCCCAGCTCAGCCTGTAGTGTTGCTTTCATAACCTCACAGCTTCCTTTGTCCACAAATGCCTGCCTGTGCCTGTCTGAATGCTGGTGCCCTGAACTGGGATGCCCAGAGGTGACAGCCTGCACGCAGCCCCTCCTGCCGAACCTAGCAGCGGAACCTCCCTGACCCTGATGGGAGGCGGGAGAAGCCGGGACTGGGGTTTCCATCAGCCAGGATGTCACAACTGGGGAGAGATGGCATCAGAGTGAAGCTTCTGACTCTGCTACATTCCTATTTAACATTGGACTTGGGAAGTGGTTTTGATCAAAAAAAATTTGATGAGCAAATGGGACATTTGAGCCCCATTCTGTATAACACTGTCAAATACAGACGCGAGTCTGTATCAAACTTTTCTAAGACACTAGCACATTCAGAGTCACCTCAAAAAATTAAATTTTATTTTGAAAACATTCAGCGTTGGAGCTTTTTAAATATAGATCCCATTTATTATGTGGTTATTCTGGGGTTTGTCTGTGTAAGGAAGCCAAAGGTCCTTTCTTGGAAAGGACTCTCCTCTGTTTTGGAGTGTGTGCATTCTTCCTGCAATCTCTGTATTAGAACGCCCTTTCTTTTATGAATTGATAGATGAGGTGGGTTTTTTAGAATCCTTGCTTGGTAAAAATAAATCCCTCAGCTGAACCCTATTTTTTTTAAATGTCCTGCTCTGTGACATTCCAGAACCTCAGCATTCCCGTGTCAGCACCCAGGTGGCCTCCGGATTACCCGTTTTACATTTTTCAAAAAAACATTCTAGCTCCTTTTTTAAAGAAACTGGAAGTCAGAGACGTTCAGTAACAAGCCTGAGACCACATGGCTGGAGAAGCCAGTGCGGGATTTGGACGTGACCCTCTCTGGCCCGGAAGCTCAAGCTAGCATGATTGCCTAGCACCTTCTCCCCATCTCCTTAAGGAAGAATGCAGCCCAGTGCTTGGCCGGAGAGGCCCCCCAAGGGGTAAGGAGATGAACCCCAGAAGAGGCTTGGATCTGGTCCCAGAAAACCTTCTACTTTTGAATCCGCACTTTCTGTTCCTGAGAGTCTGTGGTTAACTCGGGGTTCAGTGCCCCAGTGGCAGAGGAAGGAGAGGTGCGGGCAATACCCCAGAGCAGAGGAAAATGCCCATGTGGTTTTATTTGTCTTAAGAATAAATTTTATTTAATATCTATATGGCAGACTTATGGGGTCCACTTGGCTTCTACCTTGAGTAAAAATTCTCTAAAGCATGGTAGTGAGAATCCGATTGCAGAAACTGAACAGTAAATGCATCTTGCTGGAGAAGGGGCACTGTCTTCAGGATGAGGGGGCACAGCTGGCCTGGAGCTAGGGGTGAGCTCCCAGCATCAGAGGGGCCGACCTCACAAGCGGGGGCCAGGGACCCTGACCTTACCCGGTCCTATGACCAGAGTCGCTCTCCTGGGACTCTGTGGAGCGTGAAGAGTGGCCATGGGGCTCCTCCAAGCCCCGTGGACCGTGGAGAGAGAAGAAGGTCTGAGACCGGGAGACTCTCTCAGGAGCCCAGCAGCGTCGGTGGGCTCCGTGTTGTAGGAGAAGGGGACAAAAGTCTTGGTCAGCAGCAGATGTTGGGAAAGTATTGGTAGTGAGGGTTGTAGCTCCTTAGGTTCCTCTTCAGGCAGTAGACGAGCTTCCGGTCACAGGCGCAGAGCTGTGCTTGGCAGGGGGGCCCGAACTCTGCAGACAGGACACCAGATGCACAGTAAGGAAGCGAAGGGGGGCTCTACCGACACTGCGTCTCGGGCTTGCCTCTAGTCGGAGCCGACTCCCTGGCCTGCCTCCTGCCCAGGAAGCTCTCAGTCTGATGAGGGAGGCACACCTTCCACACTGGGAAATGCGTGAGCCGATGGAAGAGGCGTAGCTGCTGCCCCAGGGGGAGGCTTCCGTCCAGGGAGACACAGCCCCTGCCCTCCAGGAGTTGCCAGTCTGACGGTGGAGACACATTCTCTGCCCTTGGGAGTTCCCAGTTTGACGGTGGAGACAGCCCCTGCTCCGGAGGAACTCCAGTTCTCATAGAGGAGATACCACCCCCAGACTTAGCTTTGAACTCAGATGGCCCTGAGCTTGAATCCCAGCTCTAGCTGTGCACACTGGCAAGGCTCTGAGTTCCAGCTTCCTCATTTGTAAAATGGGGAGACTAAATACACTCCAAAAGATATTTGGGGGAGCAAGTAAACAGAAGTATGCAAAGCATTTGGCACCTAGTGAATGCTCAGGCTGCGATGTTTCAGCCCTTCCCCAGAGGTCAGATACGGCTGCAATAATCCTGCCCCTCTTGCCCCCAGCTCTGCCCTCTAAGATATAGGCTGGCTGACCTCTAGGGGCAGCTGAACTCAGAACTAGCAGAGACCCAGGTTCTATCAGTGGCCCGAATGGGAAGCCCCAGGCTTACCACAGGTGACCAGTCCCCGTGCAAATCTGTATTTGTATGACTGTGTCCAGATGTGGCAGCCTTTCTCCTCCAGCTGCCCATAGCAGTGATCATGCACCCAACAGCACCTGTCAATGCAAGAGACGTAGATCCTACGTAAGGGGCACGTCACTTTAAGCAGAGGCCACCCAGGTGGGTGCGGTCCGACAAAGAAAAAATCTAGGAATATGGATGAGTACTTCTCTGCTCTTCCACTGGGGCTGCCTGCCACTGGCTAGTGGCTCACTGACCTGCTTTCTCCTCCAGGGCTCACGGTGAGCCTACATTTCTCAGCTTCCCTTGCAAGTGGGTGTGACCACACGACTAGGTTCCCGCCAGGGCATCATGGGCAGAAGGGATGCCCACCACTTTCAGACCTACCCATGAAACCCTCCCACACTGTCCTCCCCTTTCTCTCTTTCTCCATCTCTCAGCTGGATGGAGATGACCTAGCAGAGGACTCTGAGACCACAGGGGATGGCAGAGCCATAAGAGGGAAGGAACCTGGGTCCTGGAATTAACATGTGATCCACATGGAACTGTTAGGTGAGCAAAAAACAAACTTCCAGTATGTTAGGTGTGGCAGATTGCATTTTTTTAAAATTGATTTATAGAAAAATAGAGAAGGGAGTACAGAGTGTTCCCTTTTGCCCCACATCCAGTTTTTCCCATCATTAATTAGTACAATACACTTGTTACAATTAACAAACCAATATTGATGTCATTGACTAAATAATCTGCTAAATCATAATATATCATTATTGATTAATTATAAAAAGACCATAGTTTATTTAGATTTCCTTAGTTTTTATCTAATATCCTTTTTCTATGTGAGGATCCCATCCAGGATACCTCATTACATTTAGTTGTCACACCTTGCTAGGCTCCTCTTGAGTGTGACAATTTCTCACATTTTCCTTGGTTTTGATGACCTTGACAGTTTTGAGGAGTGCTGGGTAGGTATTTTGTAGGATGCGCCTCTATGGGGTTTGTCTGATGCTTTTCTCATGATAAGACTGAGGCTATGGGCTTATTTTGCTCCTCTAATTACTCCAGCTTTGGCCGTTGGGAGCCCTTCCAGTTAGCTCCTGTGCTCCCTGACATATCTCTATCAATGTGGCAGGTGGTTCTTTTTGAACACTTCCTTATCTTTTGGCCTTACATGAGACTCCAGGTTCATCCTGTATATTTTCTGCCCTGGTCCTAGAATCAGCCGGGTCTCCAAGGAGCCTTGGTTCCGTTTTTCGAAGAATAGTGTCAGAGACCAGGTCTGGGCATTAGGAGTTGCTTATTGCTAATGGGATATTGTTTCTTTTAGGTCCTCTCTGCTGCCAGAGCAAAAAATGTGTCTATTTTAACCCATGTTTGTACACACATCTGTACCTATTTCTGTATGTAACCACCGGCATCTATAATAAGCTAAACAGGAGTTCATACTGACATCTCCACCTCTAATCCATCACCATAGGGCATAAACTCTCCCTCCAGCAGTGGGAAACTTGGCTCCCACCATCTGCCATCCATTTGCCTAATGGCCCCATCCCATCATCCACATCAGGGGTCTCAGAATTTTCCAAAGAATCGTCTCTCCTTCTCGCATGTTCTAGAACTTTGACATTTCCCAATCAAGAAATGGAATCTTGGTCCCCTTCCTCTCAAAGCCTTTGTGACTACCTCCACCAACTGACACCATAGAATTTCTGAGGCTAAACCCTTTTGTCTTACAGTCTTGGGACACTCACTCTTGGAACCCAACGGTCACTGTACTGTGGGGAAGTTCCAACAGCCTTGCAGAGGCCTAAGTGAGAGGAACCGAGGCCCCCAGCCCACAGCCTCCGCTGAGGCCCCAGCCAACAGCCGGGGGCGACAGCATGTCAGCCATGGGAGTGAGCCCTCCGGAAACTGGATGGTCCAGCCTCATTTGAGCTGCCCCAGCTGAAGCTGGGTGGAGCAGGGACAAGCCATCCTGCCAAGCCCTGCCCCACAGGCAGATTCTTAGCAAAGTAAATGGTCATGGTCACTTGAAGTCACTATTCTTGGGGTGATATGTTATGTAGCAATGGACCAACTGACACATGTGGTCACTGAGATGCGTGACATTACTAGATGTATCTCGAGCAAGTCAGTTCACCTCTCTGACACACAGTTTTCTCACCAATAAAATGGCGCTTTAATACTCATCTTCCGGAACTGACGTGGAATTACGTGAGATCTTGCGGGCGCAGAGGCTGAACGTAAAGGATAATCATGATAATCAGCTCACCAATCCGTGCCGTCCTTGGGGGTCCCCTGACCACCCCAGCCACAGTAGCAGCCATAGAAGCCGTAGTTTGTCAAGGCGTTCTTCCCAGTCACCTTCTCAATCATGGACTTGAGGTCCAGCAAGCCCCCGGGCACAGCAGGAACACCTGGAAGACAGCCCCCGGCCCCTGGCGAACACGCTTGCCCAGCATGCACCTGCCCCTGCTCCTGCCCTGGGGCTTGCGGGGACCCAGGCGTCTCCTCTTTCTTCTCCCCATTAGTGGGATGGGAGCAAGAAAGGGGAGGACAAGCAGTAGAGCTACAAGTCTGGACTCGGAGAATGGGAACCGTGGGTTCAAATCCTGCCTCTGCCCACTCATTTTCACAGCATGATATCGAGTAAGTCACTTAATCTCTCAGAGCCTCTGCCTCCTCATCGGCAAATTAGGGGCAGTGGGGCGGCGGGGGCTAAAGTGAATGCCTACGTTGTGGAGTTATCTTGAGGGTTAAAACAAGAGAAAGTATGTGAATTTTGAGCACAGAAGCAGACACCTAGTGAATGACCAAGAAATACGAGGTATAATTAATACAGTAGCTATAGGAAAGCAGGCAGACAGATGCGCACCCCCCTCCCCGCAAATAACACCACTTAGAACATAAGGCCCAGGACCTTAGCAGGGTGGGATCCTTCCAGATCACTGAAGCCAGCTCCCTCGTCTTCCAGATTGAGAAACAGTAGTTTGGAGGGAAAGGTTCAGGGTTTCACAGTGAGCCAAGTGTTCCCTCCCTGCACTAAGCCTCCAGCCTTCCGCCCTCCGCCCTCCGCCCTCCGAGAGTCTCCAGGGATCTGGCAAGACATCAAAGATTAGGACAGCTTGCCGCGGGGGGCGGGGGGGGGGCCGAGGCTGTGTACATGGTTATGGGGCTCCCCTGTGCTGGACGGTTACCTCCAGCTGGGAGGTGGCAGCAGGTGGGGCCGGCCTCCGCAGAGAATGACCCAGGAACGGAATAGTTACAGAAGGGTCTTGTTCTCGTTTGGGCTTTATTTTGTTTTGTTTTGTTTTGCACCAAAGTAAAAAATATGCCTCGCATATTTGCAAGCCACGTATTGTTCCCAAGGCAGAATCTTTACCCATCACCACCTAGAATCGTGCGACAGCCCCACCAGTGGGCTGAGTATCATCCTGTGTCACAGATGAGGAGACAGAGACTCAGAGAGGCGAAGGTTCTTGCCGACGTCTACACAGGAAGCACAGAGGCAAGATTCAAACTCAAGTCTCCCCAACCTCAAAGACTAGCCTCCTTTCCATCTACCCTATTGTTCTTAGGGGTGGAAGGTCACAAGTTCAGAGGTCATGGGGCCAGCACTTACTGCAAACCAGGAACCAAGCCAGTGTGAGAAGGCCGTTCATCTCTGGGGTTCTGGAAAAGAAAACACATCCCATCCGGTGACATGCCTCTCGGGAGACGCATTTGGACCCCACCCCCGGGTCCCCACCAACTCAAGGAGTTGATCCCAGGGGTCCCTGGGGGGCAGTAGAGCGCCTGTGGAGTATGGTCCCCCATTGTGGCAGGAGAGGACTTCCCACCATAGATGCCCCAACACAACGGTCCCCTCTGCAGACAGTGTGACCGCCTTTCAGGGCCTTCTTGTGGCTTTGTGGGTCCTGAGCAGTTTTGCCTTCATGGGCCCCTTCCTCCAAAAAAATTTCTTTCAAGGAGTATTTTACAACCGTCTCGGTATGGAAACCAACACAATCCGGGCTGGATGCAGTAGGACGTATTCGTGACTCTTATATTCTATTTTCCTCCTGATTCTAAAAGAATTCAAATTCATACATTTCCATGGGCCCCAGGCACTGTGCCTACCTAAAGAATAAGTCGACCCTGGGTACTCATGAGGGCTCTGAAGGGCAGCTATCACTGCTCCCATTTTTCCAGTGGAGAAATGGAGGCTCAAAGAGCTCGTGGAACTTGCCAGAAGCCATGCAGCTAGTAAGAAGTGGAAGAAGGGCTCAAAGCCAGCCCTGAGCACCTCTCACTGCACAACACAGCCTCCCTTCACAGAAGGCTGAGTTGCCCTGTGGGCCGTGGAGCCTGGAGACCCCAGCTTCCCTCCCCAGCACCTGCCTTCTGCGAACACATGAATCACTGGCCTTGAGTCCTGAAAATTCACACCCAGAAGGCAGAGGAAATTCCATGTGTCGTGGGCCAGTGCCTGATTCTAACTTGGCCTCTTGAAGGTTCCTTACTGGTGGCTGCCTGTCTCCTTTCCCTGTGTGGATCCCAAAGTCCTTGTTTATCCACAGCTGCTCGCTTGGCTGATGGTCTGCCAGGATTTCCCCTTCGGTGCCCGGCTGTCTCTGATCCCTGAGTCCAGCGGTCACTTGTGCAGTGCTCTGCCCCGAGCCCCTGGCACCTCCGGAGGCCTGGCTCCAAACACACAATCTCCAGCTCCCCGGGGCTCCTGGCTACTAGGCTGGCCTCTCCGTGCCGCCCTTTGTCCAGCAGCCCCTCTGAGTTCCAAGAACATTCCTGAGGATTCTGTCCACCCATGGCCTCTGCCCTGAGGGCTCTAACCAGCCAAGGGAAAAGGCTCTAGACCCTACCCTTCCACACCTATCTTCCTCGGCTGCTTCCCGGAGCTGCAACAGGAGGAAGGTGCCAGCCACCACGCACAGGGCACCCACAATGTGCCAGGTTCTCTCCCCTGTCTCTTTAAGCCTGCCGAGAATCCTGGCAGGTGGTTATTGTTAAACCTGCTGGCACAGTGTCTGTCCTTTGACAGGCGTTTGTTCAACGAGGGGCTAGCAGTCATTGATCTCACAGATGGGGAAACTGAGGCTCGAGAAGGGGACGTGAGCTGCCCAATGATTCAGCCCAGGACTGTGAATCTACTCTGCTCACTGCCTCTGAGCATCCCCTGTGTACTATTCATGGTGTTCCTTTTCCATATTTGATGATGCGTTGATGTCCTATGGTTGCTTTGCTGGGCTGGGAAGACACAGCCTCCCCCAGGAGCAGCTAATTCCCAGGGTAACAGAAGACTCCCCTGGGAGCGTGGCTTTCATACATGCAAACCAGCCAGTCCTCAACTCCCTCCCCAACCCCTCTGTCTAACTCTCCCACTCCCAGCCGATATTTCCCCTGCCCTAAATCACCACCCCGGGGCCAGGAAGCAGGCAGCTAGGGACCCATCACCCCTGCAGCCCAGAGTCTGCTGAAATCCTTCGAGCTGGCCAATCCCAAGCTGTTTGCCCTGCCCTGCCTTGCCCTTCCCGTGGAAAACACAAGAAAGGCTCTGGACCGAGCTTGCTCTCATTTCTTCTGCCTCCTGGTCAACTTGGTGCTTCCCCGTGTGGCCCTGCCCGGTGGGGTAGGTCCCCTTCTCTCAGAAACCATAAATAACAGACTGTCTTCTAAATGCCACCTGACTCCTGATCTGTTGGCTTCACCATACCTGAATCTGAACCAAACTCCCAGGCACATTTTAGAGCATCTTGGGCCAGGGCCATTGGTGTGAGGGAACAGCACGAGGCCCCATGGAAAGGGGTCCGGAAGATGCAGAGAGGCCTCACTGAGGAGGCGACAGAAGCATGAACACAGCTGTCCCAGGGGCCGGGAAAGTGGCCCATCAGTGGAGCTCAGAGCCAGTCCCCGGGAGAAGGATGTGGCGCTGCTATTTTTATCGAGCGACCACAGAGGGAAATGAGCACAGCCGTGAGATAATTTTGGAGTAAAGTGGTGGCTGAGGTCATGAGAGGTGGAGAGAGTGGAGACAGACAGCCTAACAGAAGCCTGAAAACGTGGGGGTCGGTAGTGGCCGGGTCCCTGGGTGGACAGGAGGTAGCAGCACCCCCCCATGCCCTAGGACCCCCAGGTTAGGTCTCTGGCCACGAAGGATGGACAGCACCAAGCCCACGGCACAGCAGGCGTGTGAGAGACCTCCCCTCAATCTGGGGAGGGGGAGGCACTGGGGCATCAGGGGCCTCCTCTCCCAGGCCCTCTCCCTCCCTGTGCCCTGCCCACCACCCCACCTCAAGCAAGGCAGCCGCCAGAATGAGATTCCTCACCAGGGAGACCTTCTCTCCACCTCAGGCCTGCGGAAGAAGCAGGGGCTGGGCCCTCGGGTTTTAAAGGCCTCTCTGCCCTCCTCCCACGCTCCCGCCTGGGCCAGCTCCAGGGCTCCAGAGGGCTCATGTAGGAAGCCCTGTTTCTCCCTCTCGAGACCCCTGAAGACTTTTTTTGCCTCCCTGGGTCTCAAAGCAGCTATTCCCTGGAGCATGTCACAGTGCCTGGGCGACGTTCAGGAGAGACACTGAGGAGGGTCTGGCTTGGGCCACCCACAGCCCAGGGTTCTCCACCAGGGACAGGACAGCTGGAATCCCCCTCCCAGGGCAGCCTCCCCCCTCCCGCCGCCCTGCGTCTCTGGAGTCCTCCAGCCCACGGCGCCTGCTCACATTTCATTCCAACTCCCTGGGGCTCAACTCAGGGACAGCCATGGCAGCCAGGCGGCACCCCCTCTTCCTGTCGTTCCCGACCTGCCAACCCCCAACTCTGCCTTGTCCCGGGGGGTGGGACAACCCAGGAGCCTGTGACAGCCCCACTCTGGAGAGATGTTGTAAACTGTAGCTGGAGCCCGGCTGGCACCTCCCTTTTGGCCCCGGGCTCCTTACCCAATTCCTGCCTGCCTTCTCTCTGGGAAGGAGAACCCACCAGGCTTGCAGTCAGAGCCATGCAAGCCGCAGTCCCCACTCAGCCACCCAGGAGCTGTGTGACTCCGGGCAGGTCACCACACTTCTCTGTTTGTTCCTGTGATCTAGGAGAATAGTGACTCCCTGCCGCCCCAGAGGCTCGTGGTGAGGAACATACTGTATAAAACAAGCCCGGGTGGTGGGATGTGTGTGGCTCAGGGGTTGACATCACAGACTCTAGATGAGCTTCAAGTCCTGTCCTGGCTTCCCCACCACAAGCTGCATCTCCTCTGGGCTGGCTGCCCTTGGCCTGCCTCAGAGAGTCCTTGTTACGATGAAGTGAATGAATGCATTTATAACAGAGCAGTGGCCAAACAGTGCGAATAAGTAAATGATGTAGTAACCTTCTAGAATGTTCTTGAGGAGCATAGGTAACTGTTATTAGGCTCTGTTCTCCACTTCTATGAATCCTGAGCCCTGCCCCATCCCCGACCCCCGTGTGCACACACTTTTCTGAGACGTGGGTGTGAGCTCCTCCTTCTCCCTCTTGGCGTCTCTTCTCCCCCCTCTCTGCTCAATCGCGGCAGCCTCAGAGAGAAGCCCCTCCTTCCGGCCCTCACCGGCCCTTCTCTTCCTGAGACCTGAGTGCTGGGCACCCCGCGGAGCCCTGTGAACCCCAGTGCAATACAGAAAGTACCTACTGAGTGTCTCCCACACACAAGGCGCTGCAGGGGATCCGCTGTGAGCGAAACGGAGGCCGGACCCCCTCACGCTTCCCCTCGGGTTGAGGGAACAGATAGCAAAGACATCGAATACATACACAAGACGTCCGGGGGGGGCGGGTAGCGGGGAGGGCAAAGACTCCTCTCTGTTCCACGTGCACTTTTCCCTTTCTCCACCAGTTCCTTCCTCCACCTACGGACACTCACAGGCCTCGCCATCCGACACCAAACAAAAGGAGCGAGCAAAAGGAAGCCTTCCTACCTCTGCCGACCTGTCTCTCCAGCTTTTGTTTTCCCCTCTAAAAGCCACATTTCTGGACGGGGAAGCCTCCACTTGCTCATCACGCACTTCCTTCTGAATGCGGGGCCGCCTGAAGCCTCCACTGTGTCCCAGAGTTGGATCCCAGGGACCACCCCCGCCAAAGCCTGGTGCTTCCCAAGCCTGGGCTTCACCCCCCACCCAACCCACTCTCTCTCTCTCTGGCTTTGAGAGGCCACACCCCGCCATCCGCTCTCCGCTGCTCACCCCCATCTCTGTCGGCACCCCCACTTGCAGGTGTCTTCAAGGATCTGCCCTCGGAGTCTGCTCCTCTCTCTGTCCTCCTCGCCTGGGGTGAGCTCATCCATGGTCAGGGTCTTAGGTCTTATTTTTATGCAAGTGTCCAGGGGCTAGCCCGGCCACGCAGTGTCCGGCACTAGCTTTACACCCCCTGAAATGAGTACGGGAATGAAGAAAAAGTACAACGTCAGGTCCAACCATCTGAGCTTCCAGTCAGACGGAACTGGATTCAAATCTGGATGTCCCCTCCAACTACCTGTGTCCCCTGGCCTCCTCAGGTCTTGCTCTTATCAGCACCTGTAGAACAGGACAATAATGGAACCAGCTTCATTCTGTAATTGTGATAATTCAATGAAGCGCTGCAGAGAGGCTCGGCACAGTGCCTGGTGCCTCGTAGGTGCTCAGTGAACGTAACTATTTTAAATATTATTGCTGTT